TCCAGTTCACACCTTCGCATTCCAATCTATTCCTAGATCTTCAAAGTGGTCTCTTCCCCTCAGACTCACTCACTCATGGAGCTGAGCCCTTCTTGAGCCCTTCCACCTGGTTTTCCCAGACCTTCCTAATGGTATATTCTACAGCAAAGTTGAAAACCAGTGGAGATAAACACCTCCTTGTTTTAGACCATTCTAAATAGGAAAATTATCATACAAATGTCTACCTATATGGACTTTACTATACATTTCATTTAAACACATTTTAATCAGTCTAACTATTTTCATGGGTGCCTGAAATTCTATGAGATATTTCTCTCCTAACTTAATCATAGGCTTTCTTCATGTCTACAAATAGCTGATGTACTGTCACATTGTATCCCATTTTTTCTCCAGTATCTGATGAATGCAAAAGATCTGATCAGTAGTTGATCTGTTACGCTGAAACCCACACTGACGATCCCCAGTAATTTCATCTATGTATGGATTTAACCTTGAGAGAAGAATATTGGATAAAATTTTGTATGATGTTGATAGCAGTGATATTCCCCGATAGTTACTACAGTCAATTTTATTGCCCTTCCTGTAAACTGGTATAATTTGTCATTTATTTATAGTTCCAAAAAATCCATAGAGGCATCTGCCTCAGATATAGAACAAGTCAATAATACAATATAACATATAAATATACATACATAATCAGACAGTCATCATCGTCAAAATTTAAATACTCAATACAACAAAACTACTGTACAACAAAACATTCATATAGCAAAATAACATTTAAAATTACATACATGATTAAAAGACCGTCAAGACTCTTAATATAGTAATATAAAATCTATTTTCTTAATATATGATACACCTATATTACAGCAGTGATAGCACCTTTTTCCTGAGTATTTTATTCCATATTCCGTTGCATCCTAGCAATAGGCAACAGTGTTTACTAAATATACATGAGGTATCAATCTTTATTCCAGCAGTAGTATTCTTCAACAGTATAAAAAGAACTGGTGATAAGAAACTTCTTTAACGCCACTTTAAATCCAGGAATGTCATAAGATAATTGTTTAAGCTCTGGAGGGAGGTGGTTATAAAGTTTGATACCAGAATACCATCCACCTTTCTGAAATATCGTTAAGTTTACCACCAGAAGATGCAAGTCATGATTAAATCTGGTATTATGGGTGTGGACATCAGAGTTTGTTATATAGCAATCTTTATTCTTGACAACCAGCATAAGTAAAGAAAATATATATTGAGACTGAAGTGGCAGAATATGTAACTCATTAAATAAATTACGGCACGAATCTACATTATGCGAATTAGTAATAATTCTTATTATTCTTTTCTGTATTTGAAATATGATTTTTGCATGAGCCGAACTCCCCCAAAATATTATGCCGTAATAATAGACTCCTTCCACTGATCAGGCAATTCTTCCTTATTACAAATAGAATTAATTAGCTTATGGATCTCAGAACAGCCTACTGGCATACTGTAATTTTTCCTTTTCAGTGTGCTTGTTAAATCTCTGATCGGTCTCGCCTTCCTTTCCCACAGCTCAGTTCTCACAGAGATTACTCTCAAACTGTTCCTGCTTCTCCCTCCTCTCCTTAAGTGCTTGTCCCGAGCACTTCCCTCATAAGGTGCCAGTCAATGCAGGGTTACTATCTTCATCCTTTCTTTCAGCTGGTGCGGGCAAAACTACCTAGAGTGGACAGAACTCCTTAATCTCTGGCTGTTCTTCTCTGTGCAGTCTTTTCTTTTGTTTCAGAGGGGGCCAACCCCTCAACAGTGTCTACTCACTCATTTTCTGCAGCCCTTTGGAAAACTCAACAGCTCGATTTGCAACCTCCAATCCGAAATTCTTTCTCATGATCTTGTTGAATGCCCTCTTGCTTCCTAGACATAGCTGCTCCTTAAATCTTGGTCCCTTATTTCACTGCTGCCTTCCTGGCATGTCCGCTCTCTCGTCCCAAGTGCCTGTCATTTAGGGGCTCCTCTTGCAACAATGTCCCTGCCTGGTTCCTGACAACTGTGTCCCTTGAGTGGTGCAGGAATGGCACAGTGGGTCATCCCTCTGCAGGTGGCAGCCAACTTCTTCCAGGACCCACCACAGCCCTGGTTCCATTTTTTCAGCTGTCGGTGGTGCCCTATGGCTAGATGCTGGTCTCCATAATGCTCCTTCAGTCCTCTGACAGTTTTCATTGCAGCCTCTTCTTTAGGGACCTCCTGATGCTCCACTACAGACTCTATCTCCACTGAGGCTGGCTCCTCACTCTCCAGACACGCCTCTGCCTCTTCTTGGCAGACCGTCATCTCCTTTTGAAAGGCTTTCATTCTTTTCTAGCCAGTATCCATTTTGGCTAGCCTCCATCCTTGGGTGGCATTCACATCTTCTATGGCAGCTATCAGACATTCCATTATTTGTTCCATTTTTGTAGTATGGTGGTATAATGTTCCAATGCAGTCTCCAGTCCAACCACTTCTGACACCAGTTGTCACATGAAGGAATGACTATAGATGAGGTTTTTGGATTGGAGATTGGATTTATTGACCACTTTAACACACAACTCGTGGCTATACTTAATTACAATGCCATTGCTGATCTCCATACTTTACAAATCACTAGTCTTTTCAGTCTGCTGTGTCTTCATCAGTCATTCCCATGTAACTGCTTCTAACAGTGGAGCTTATTCAGCTTCTGCACTCACTTCATTGACTGCTGGCTCTCAACTGCAGAGACTGTCTTTTCTTCACAGACTGTCTTACAACTGCCTATTTTTTTTATTGCTAGGGGGTGGGACTAAGTCCCTTGTACTGCGGCCACTACCGGCCTATTGTACCAACCCCAGATGATAGGTGAGGGTGATTGTGGAATTAAGATTGCCAAGGGAAAACGAAGTACTAGGAGAAAACCTGCCCTAGCGCCACTCTGTCCATCATAAATCCCACTTCACTAGACGTAGGATTGAACCTGGGCCGTCATGGTGGAAGTCAGTGACTAACCGCTTGAGCTATGGCGCGGCCTACAACTGCCTAACTTCTGAACTTGTCTCAGTTAGAACATCTTGTCATGGACCATGCAGGGAAACACCACCTCCAACAACAGTTCCTCTATTGCTGCATGTGAACTTATTGCCTTGAGAACCCATCTGTTTCATGGTCACTACCCAGTAATGGGTCTACATGCTGCAATATAAAACTGACAGTAAGCTTCTCAAAAGGCCACACCATAGCTGAAGTGGTTAGTTGNTACCAACCCCAGATGATAGGTGAGGGTGATTGTGGAATTAAGATTGGCAAGGGAAAATGAAGTACTAGGAGAAAACCTGCCCTAGCACCACTTTGTCCATCATAAATCCCACTTCACTAGACGTAGGATTGAACCTGGGCCGTCATGGTGGAAGTCAGTGACTAACCGCTTGAGCTATGGCGCGGCCTACAACTGCCTAACTTCTGAACTTGTCTCAGTTAGAACATCTTGTCATGGACCATGCAGGGAAACACCACCTCCAACAACAGTTCCTCTATTGCTGCATGTGAACTTATTGCCTTGAGAACCCATCTGTTTCATGGTCACTACCCAGTAATGGGTCTACATGCTGCAATATAAAACTGACAGTAAGCTTCTCAAAAGGCCACACCATAGCTGAAGTGGTTAGTTGGAGTACTTTGGTTTCCCGTGCCAATCTTCATTCCACCAAATTCTCTATCATCCTAATCACCCACAAAAAACACATCAACTGCTCAGCAATGGATATTATGTATTGTTGTCAGGCGTGTCCACCCATGCACTGCCTAGCAATGGACATCCTACAGTTACACATTCATTGCTGTGATATGTGTTTATCGGTCTATTACCTAGCAATGCTTTGAGAAAATTCATTACAATATTAAAATGAAAATCAGAGAGACAGCATAGAGTGGGACTGGACTGATCTGGCTCAGGATGGGGACAAGTGGATGGTTCTTGTGAACACCGTAATGAACTTTCAGGTTCCATAAAATGCTGGGACGTTCTTGAATAACTGCACAACTGACAGCTTCTCAAGCAGGGCTCAGCTCCATGAAGTTAGTTAGTTTGCATATAACACTTGATGATGACCTTTCATAGATGGAACATACAGTGTACAGTAAGAAGTAAAAGTAAAGTTGCTCCTGTGCTTAATTAATTTAGCACCATGACATGAAGACGTATTGGGGAGTGGAGGTATGTATATCTCCACCATCCTTGACCTTGGAACTAGATGGAAATAATGGGTGAGCTTCATGCCCTGACCACTTTATCCCAAGGGAAAGGGCCCCAGTACAAATTGGTTAGAAGGCTCTATGGGCCCCAGTGTTAGCCTGGAAACTGTAGAGTACAGAAAAATCTCTTATCCCTGCTGGGAATTGAACACTGGCCATCCAGCCCACAGTCCATCACTATGCCAACTGGGCTAACCCAGTTCCCATGTAGTGTATAGTTTGAAATGAAAAGCAAGGTCTTGATAGTTAATCTTATATCTTGAATGTTGAACACGAACATGATGAAACTTCACAAAAAATCATTAATGTACTGACCATATTTATTCCTAAACCAGTTTATCTAAAAGTTAAATATACTGCTTGTAAAAGTGGTAATTCATAGAATACGTTCAATCACACATAAATTGGTGGAAAAAAAAGTAAAAGCTAATTACTGGACAACAGTCTATTTGAAAATTGGCCTGCTTCAAGCATGGGATACAGGGATGAAATACACAATTACTGCACACAAAGACTCTATAGCTATAGCTAACAGTAAAACGCCAAACTAATGAGCATGCAAAAAATCCAGCCAATGCAGGTAATAAACAGCACTTAAACGCAAAGTCTTACCGCTTTGTGCGCCACAATTTCAATTCTACATAAACCATGAATAAATTTTCCTTTCATAAAACGTCAGTCAATGCCGACAACAAACACATTCAATCTAGTCACAAAGAAAAACTACGTAACCACGAAGTACTTACCTCTTTTCAATTTGACACTTATACCTTGTGGATCATATTCTATTACAACATTTACTGGAAAATCAAACTTGGGTCGTATATCACCGGACTTTTCAGCATATGAAACGGTTACCATGCGAAACACAGTCGCCATTTTAAATGCTAAATCGAGGAGTATCATTTCCAGAGAGATTCGAAATTACAGAATATTTATTGCCAATGTTTCGTAGACAAAATTCCTAAGGAAGATGAGTTCAGTATTCTAGGAAATAACATCATATAGCCCATTGACAGTCTACCGACGTTTCGGAAGAACATGTCATCTCTATCTTCGGGGTCGAAGAATAAGCAAAGCATGAAATCATCTTGCCACCTGCTTTCACCCTGGTTTCTTTCTTGACTTATACTTTGATAACGACGATGACGACGATGGAGGTTCTTGCGGAGCGTCGGTTGATTTTAATGGACTACACTGCGTTACACCCCAGCAGACAAAGCGAATGATACCCACCGCTGTGAGAATCTTATATCCCACAGATTCCTAAAGAAAATTGGTAATATGCCTATCGACGTCTTTTAGTAAATGAGAGAGTACCTTTGGAGTCGCTTCATCATCAACGGTTATATCCGCTTGGATACAAATCAGAGTAGCTTATCCTTTATTTAACCCAATATAAAATTAAACAGTATGCATGTGTCAGACCGTGAAGTGACCTGATGCTTGGTAAAAAGTGCATTAAAACAAAAAAACAAAAAAAAATAGTTAAGAAGTCATAATAAAATAGGCTGCATATAGGCCGATAGAACCATTAAAAACATAATAAAGACGAAACGGCCGTAACTGCTTAGAATGGCCCTTATAGGGGTCCCAAAGTGTACCAGAAACTACCGGTAACTGTTGTTCCTAGGTGCTCAATCATCCAAGTACCCGTCAGGCGTAACGTTCCTGTAAACCGTTTGGCAACACTAGTTGCCGATGTCTTAGACGCACTCTATGATCCATATACGGACCGTTTCACAAATATTCCTATCCATACTGACCCGAGCATTCACATTCCCAACAAGATTCTCTCGTAACAGAAAATTATTTACGCACATAAACTCAAATGTGTGCCTCCGAAACGTCGGCAACACACTGTGGATATCCAAGTGTTGGATCAACGTGAACAGTGAACCACTGTGCAAGTATAAACTTAGAAACCTTTTGTAACGATTACAACGCAATCGTGTTTTATTAAAATAACACGTTTTAACATTCATGTATGCAGACTAAAAAATCAAATTTCGCAACGTTGTTAGATCGAAATCAAAACTTACTTTCTTGCAGACAGCAAAGGAACAACAATTAAATTAGTAGTAGTTTAATTAATTATCTTAATTTATAGAAGTGTCTGCTGAAATACACTGAAAGCCACCACGAATCAAATTACATCACCCCTTATCGGTTGATTTCACCGCGCTTTTTGCTATTGGCGACATCTTTCGCGAGAAATTTCAACGATTTGTGAGTACGTACGTCAAATAAACATACTAGACGTGGTTTAGATGTCGCTAGTCCACGTTTCAACCCCAACCCATCAGTTTCACCAATCGTGGAATCGACAATGACAGTTTTTTTATTCATGTATACAGGAAGGGGGGGGTCAAAAAAATGTACTCACTCTTTGATAGTCAATATTTTTGGAACTAGTTACAATTCTTGCGCGGTAGTGTAGTGTAATGTTTTCTCAACAGATGGCGAAGGTCACATGAGTTATGTGAGTGTCGTGCCGCGTGCGCGCTGCGAGCACAAGACAGCAGCAACAATGGCTGAAAGGTTGTTCTTTGAGCATCGCAAGGCTGTATTGAAGTGGTACTGACGAGGTGCAATTCGAAATGAACGGTACTGTTAACCGCCAAAACTGTGTGCATTGGGCTCCTGTAAATCCACACAGTCACGTGGGAAAGGAAATGGATTTACCGGGTGTTAATGTGTGGTGTGATCTGTCATCGCGCTCTTTGATTGGTCCTTTCTTCTTTGAAGGTACCGTAACTGCTCAGGTGTATCTCGATATGCTTCAGACATCGATTTTCCTTGCCATTCGAGAGCTGTTTGGATGTGAGAGATTGTACCTACAACAAGATGGTGCTCCACATCACTACCATCGAGATGTCAGGGCGTACTTGGATGACACTGTACCTGGACGATGGATATGTCGAAGAGGTGCTAATGAGTACCCACCACGATCTCCAGGCCTAACAACCCCCGACTTTTACCTATGGAGAACCTTGAAGGATGAAGTTTAGCGACAAAAGCCAGCTACACTGAACGCGCTATGAGAAACCATCGAAGCGTCGTGTGCAGCCATCACACCGGTCACACTGACAACCGTAGTTCGCTCAGCAGTTCGGCGGCATCGACGCTGTTTAGTCGCTGATGGTGGTCACTTCGAACACATACAATGACTCTCTCGCTCTCCGCACAAGAATTGTAACCACATGTCATTTTGTTCCAAAGATATTGACTATCAAAGCGTGAGTACATTATTTTGGACCCCTCTATATACAAAAATGGCCTACGCAATGCCCCTCCGGCACCCTGTAGCACATACTTATAAACACCTTATTCAATCATAGAGGTCAACCCGCGGTTGTTGAACAACTCTCTCAAATTTACTATATTATTATTATTAATATTATTATTTATATTTCGTACATTTATTTCTCTTTTTTAAAAATAAATTTAGGAATTTTATTTTTGAAGTAACAGACACCTTGTACAAATTTTTTTTTTGCTCTGTAACTGACTTTGCGTATTCTTTTTTGCTGTTCTCAGGCAAAATGCTCATCATTGTTGCCCTTTGGTCCTAGTACAGTTTTTTTAATTCCAGAAGATATGTTCCTCCGTTTGCAGCCCGTCACCACATTCGCATTCAGCTGTGGACACAGTGTTAAATCCAATTAAGCTTGCTTTAAGGCTGTAGTGGCCTGCTCTCAAGCGGTTTATTGACATGAAGCCTCGACGGTTAATTTTTATCTCACGGAACTACGGAGACAAACCAGTCCTGTAGTGGAATGGTGGAGTAGTTAACAACAAGGCAAATAATTTTATGGCTTCTGGTAATGAGGCACCCAGAGCTGAAGAGATAAAATGTTTGAAGTCTGATAAATTTCTTCGTAAGAAGTCTTCCGATGTGTACGAGTAAATAACGGAATTTTCAATTTGAAACTTTTCGAAATACTGTTTAAAAATTCAAGATACTAGAAGCAAAAGAAATCTTCGTTTGAGAATTTCAGAGATTCGATTCTTCGACCAGCCTTTAATAGCAATGATTACTATCCCTTGCGTTTCTCAGTTAAAAAATTGTGAAATTCTTGAACTTTTTTGGAATATCAGTTGATGCTTTTACTTTTAATTTGCAGAGAGTTAGGAACGAGCAACCGAAGGAAGAAATCAATTGAAGAGTTTTATCTCGTGGGATATAATGCCATGTTGTTGGCTGAAAGCCAACTGGCGATTCAGAAGGAGATGTTGTCTCCATCTCCAGTGTTGACGGGCAAGCCAAGTAAGACATCAGTATGAAGAAGGCATCGATAAGTGCCTTACACAATTAGGAGAAGAAACTGTTAATTCCTTCGTTCTTCTTAAATAGTTGTTGGAGGTTTCTACGTCGATAAGTTATTAATCAAATCATAAAATTTGTCAGAAATTCTTAAGCTACAACGTAATATCACACAACTACTTCTGCAGCAAGCTTTTGTACTGCACAAATGACGATCCAGTAATACAGAAGTACTTCCAAAAATTCCACTTGGGCAGCGAAAAAATTAATTTTCTCTAAAGTTAATGCTTCAGAAATGTCTCAGACTGCACCCAGGGCATTAACACGATGATACCAAACGCAAATTTACCAATCTGATTACATTAGTCAGTACTGCATCCGTACTCCATCTTGTGGAACTTCTCTGACCGGTCATTGTAATTTTGAAGGGTTTCGTGCAGAAATTATGTATAAAGAAGCTTCAGAAGGACAGTTTCNTCTACTATAAATGCCTCTGATGATGGCTCCGTGGTGAGCCGAAACATGTAAGGCAGGTGGTGACGAGGTGGAAAACTTAAAAAAGTGTCACATTTGACGGAAGGAACTTGATTGTTAATACTGTAACAGATTGATCAGCGCGTTGCCAGGCAACATCTCTGTAAACACGGTCCAACACGCAACAATAGATGAGGCTATGTTTTCTAAGTCGTTCGCGCCGAGCAGCAATGAAACAACGGGGTTATGCAATCCGTTTCTAAGCAACGACTAGGTAAACATGTTTCCGGGTATCGGACCGCGCTAGGAAAGCGGTGACGTCATCAACAATAGGGACTGTTTTTTTCCGTTGAGTCTGTGCAGAGTGTTTGTAAGAGAAGGGAGTGACAGAATTAGTTCAAGAGCAGTTATGAGTCAGCTGTAAGCTGAAGGAGTGAGTCCAGAAGAATTTTTAGTTCCGAGGTTCCAGAGTGATTGAAGATGAAATAGCAAGAACACTTCATAGGGAGCTGAAGTGCTAATTTCTGTGTTGAGATCCGTTGCCAGGAGAGGAATAGTGAAGAAGGACAATCCTAGTGCGTGTGCAACAGTGAACTGGAAATTGTGTAAATCAGCGATAGCGCTGTATTTAAGTGTGATTAAGAGAACTTGTAACCAAGGTGCTGATAAATCAAATCATCCGAAATGGAACCCGTTATTTTCGTCACGCGTACCACTCTACATTTGAGAATATAATCAATTTTCCTAGGTTGAAATATATGACAATTAATATTCTTGAAGAAGGATCCGTGGCCATTGTGGAATTACAAGGATTCTCGAAAACAATCTAGCAAGCCTATGGAGCACGTCTTTACATTCGAAGTATTGATTTTGAAGGAAATATAACGAGCGTACTACACACAAAATGTATACAGCCCATTCCGAATAAATGCCACTTCCAAGGCTGGAGCTCTAAGGAGCAGTGTTATTAACCAAGGCGGATAAGATGGCAAAATCTGTGCTAAAAATCATTTGAACTAAACATTCCTGTGGACACACTCAGCGGTAGCATTTGCATTTACTGTAGCTCCACTCACAAGATCAATGAAAATGTGGTATTCTCCAATGAGGGAGGATATATGGTGAGAAAAGAAGCATGACAAAAGAAAGATTGTGAAAAGAGACTTTGCTCAGCTTATGTCTGCATTCACAGATGAAGTGGAAGTGTTTGGTTATCACAATGGTTTCAATAAGAATCCCAGTTTGGTAACATTTTATGTTAGGTGTGATATAAACGTAATTGAAATCGATGCTGAGTTTAGGTTTAGCGGAATTCTGGGCTGCTGCTACTTTTGGTTCTCTAGTCTATTGCCTCTGATGTGTTCCGCTATTCTAATGGAAATTTGACATCCAATTTCGCCAATGTACCCTTTAACACACAAGCACAGAATATTGTGAACGCGGGTTCTTTTGTTTTGGAATTTATCACTCCATCATTAGTTTGAGATGGGTAACAGTTCTGTGGAAAATTTCACGGATGGTGTACATCTACCCCTCTCCTTTTGTACCCTAGCAATTTTGTCACGAGATCAAGAGAACACAATCCACGGTACATAAAAATATGAGTTAGAAATGAATTGTAACTCAAGTGGGCAAGCGTCAAGCTTTAAGCATCCCATTGAACGACAGAGAATTAAATCCTGAACTACAAAGGTGAGGTCTGTGTAAATAAATGCTACCAAAGAGTCTGGGATGCAGATGGGGTAGATGATAATCCAGTTTGCGGAGGCAGCAAGGGGTCAAATACCCCCCCCCCTTTTTCCCTTGCCAACATTAGCAGTTCATGAAAAAAAAAACATTTCTGATAACCTAGTGTTAGGTTTGCATTATCTAAGGACAAAGAAAAGCGAGGAGTGGACGTCGGCCATTATCTCCTGAGTGCCTCCATGTGCTACAATTTAAAATAAGGGGCTTATATTCACAGCAGTATGCTAAATCGCACATGCTGTGAGGTAGTTGAATACGAGGATCACAATGCAAGCTGAAATAGAGCTACTGATGCAATGAAATGGGATGCTGTTTTTCTAATTGACTTGATTGTGTCCTCCAAGCTGGGGTGAGCTGGAAGAGAAAATACACAAACATCGAACTAACGCTAATGCGCAGTGTTCTTCTTGAGCGTTCTTGAGTAGCTAAGAGTTTGTCAGATACTGAGAGGGAAAGAAGCTTTTTTATGTGAATAGCGGAAAGCAGGAAGAATATTCGGTTCCTGCAAGAGAACAAATTGTTACTTGACTGAATGGTACAATTGAACCTTTGAGTTCATTTAAATTATATTATAAATGTTTTTACAGTCATAAATCTGTTTTATAACATTGAGATCAAAATATTCATAGCATAAACTAGGTACTAATATGGCGGTTACAGTATTGCGCATTTCTGCAAGATACAACGAATGACCGTTAGAGTGTGTCGTTGTTCACGAGCGGTCTCTCTCGGTTAGCCATGGCGATCAAAATCCATGCAACAATAGCTGACATGTGCAGTTCAGTGGTCAGTGGTGTTTTCCCCATCAGGGTTATCGGAAGGAAAGGGGTGCTTGCCTGCGCACGTAAGTTTAACATTACCGCGCGCGAGTGTAAAACAGATTCACATCTGAGTGTTATTTATGGTTATTCATGCCCAAAAATAAACATATATGTTCAAAATTTCCAAATCATTCATTTAGAGTTGAAAAGATAGGAAAACAGGTTCATTTTTTATTCCAATTTTTACGTATTCTGGACTGACTTAGGTTCTTAAGTTTCTTAATGTACATGTTGTACGCATGTGATTGCTATATCTGCAATATTTTAGAATAATCTTATTCTTGCTTAGGTGTGAATCCTAAGGGAGGAACATAGACTGAGGGTGTTTGAGAACAGGGTGTTGAGGAGAACATTTGGACCGAAGAGAGATGAAGTGACAGGAGGTTGGAGAAAACTGCATTATGAGGAGCTTCATAGCTTGTACTCTTCTCCAAGTATAATTACAATGATCAAGTCAAGGAGGATGAGGTGGGCAGGGCATGTAGCTCGAATGGGGGAGACGAAGAATGCATATAGGATATTGGTGAGGAAGCCAGAAGGAAAGAGACCACTGGGAAGACCAAGGAGTAGGTGGGTGGACAATATTAAAATGGTTCTTAAAGAGATAGGATGGGATGTTATGGATTGGATTGATCTGGCTCAGGATAGGGACCAGTGGAAGACTCTTGTGAACACGGTAGTGAACTTTCGGGTTCCGTAAAATGCTGGGAAATTCTTGAGTAGCCGTAGAATTGGCAGCTCCTCCAGAATGGCTCAGCTCCATGAATAAGTAAGGTGTTTATCCTACATAAAATATTTTGGAGCAAATACCAATATTTGTTGCTTTGTTTGAATATTAATTTTCTCTATAACATTTACACAAAGTAATTTGTTCATTCTTTGTAGTTTTTTTTTCTGTCTACAGCTACTAATTTCATAGAGTTTGTCTTTAAAACTTATAGTTGTTCAGTTAGTCAAGAGATTCCGTGCCAGACAGGGAACCTGATCGTACATTATCGTGTTTAGAATAGCCCCGCCCTTATTCTCTATTTCTGCCTAGACAAATCCAGTCTATTTCTTCACTACTCGTACTTCCAAACATAACAGTGAATATTCCCACCTATCGAACTAGGAGTCCAATTTTTCTTTCTACTTCACCTTTCCGGTTAATATTTTTCATGTATTTGTCACAGCTTATATGCGTGCTGCATGCTTTACCTACCCATCCTTTTTCCATTCACTACATCAATAACTTTTGAAGAAGAGTACAAATTATGAAGCTCTTCATTATGCGATATTCTACTCTCTTCTTCTACCCCCCCCCCAATCTTAGGTATAAATATTAGGTGTCAGCTTCCTATCCTCGTAAACCTCAATCTACTTTACTCAAGTAGGATGAGAAACCAAGTTTCAGCACCGCCAAAACAAAAACAAAACAAACAATATAATTAGTTTTGTACGTTTTAATCTTCATATTTTAGGACTGGAGAACATTAGATAAAATATTCTGGATTAAATTAGTAGAAAGCATTCATGAAATTTAATTTGGACTTATTTTCTTCGTGAATATAATTCTGACAGAGTACTGTTGTTCCAAAACACCTGAACATTTTCACATATTACCAAGATTTATCATTTATCTTTAGGCCATATATTTGTCGTATATTCTGTTGAAGAGACACGATCATGCCAAGTATAGAATCCAAATTTCTCTGTTTGCTTTCAGAACGAATTTTGTCAATGGCTTGTGATAGAGTTTCTATGTTTTCTTCGTGGTATTTTTGCTCTAATGCTCTGTGAGCTGAAGCTGTGAGCAGAGAATGTTCATTTATATATCCACCGAAACACATAATTTAAATGCAGCAATATGTCTGTAATTCGAAATAGGAAAAATATACAATGAAGAATTTCTGGACAAAATACCATATTTGTCGTTCGTAGCACGAGAATTATTTAGCTAATGAACTGATGTCATCAGCACAGACCAGAATTTGATGTCCGTTATTCAATTCTAATTCTTCTTGATTATCTTTGACTTTCCTAATGGCATATTCTGAGACAATGAACTTAAGAAATTTCTCTTCTTCAGATCATTCTGGGTGAGAAATACGCCAGAAAAATGTTTGCCTATACGGGTTTTAATAAGGGTTTCGTGTAAAGACATTTCCATTACTTTAACCCCTTTAGTGTTTGTATCATATAGCACAACGAAACTTTTGTAAAATTACAACCACTCTACACGAGTCACAAATTATTGCTTGTCACGGTGTACATTAACTACCATTCTTAAGCATAAATCTGTTGGCAGCGCCATAGCTCAAGCGGTTAGTCGCTGGCTTCCAACCGCGGCGACCCCGGTTCGATCCCGGGTCTGGTCAAGTGGGATTTGGCGCTGGGGAAGGTTTTCTCCGAGTACTACGGTTTCCCCTGCCAATCTTTATTCCACCAATTGCTCCACAATGACCCTCACCTATCCTCTGGGGCTGGTACAATAGGCCAGAAGTGGCCGCGGTACAAGGGACTTAGTTCCACCCCAGTAGCAATAAAGAAGAGCATAAATTTGACAGAGGGAGGTTGGTTCTACTCTAGAATCTATACTAAGGGACTGCAATGATTTCTTCTACGCAGGGAGTTGACTTTTGTGGAATTATATTTGGTTATATTTTGTACGAAATTGACAAAATAATATTCCTAGATATCTTATTACAATTTGATGGCACGTTTTTACACAAGAACATTAACAGATTCCTCCTAACTGCTGTGGTATCTCTGCGTATGTAAGAAGGTAATATTTTATCATCTGATAGCTTCAGTATTGTGTCATATGATCAATACGTGGTGAGTGGTACCTCTTCATTTTAGTACCCTTTTCAGTGTCAAAAGAATACGGCAAAGATGATATGGATCAGCTACATGCATTTCAGTTTCATATTACCATCAGAACCATGTAGCACGAATGGGGGAGAAGAGGAATGCATATAGGATACGAGGGGGTACCCAAAAGAAACCGAACTTATTTTTTTTAAACTTATTTATTCAAATTTTAAGCACAAACCTTCAATCCCCTTCAAAGTACTCTCCACTTACACTAATACACTTGTCTANTTTTCCCGAGCAAAAAGCAGAATTTCACCGCCGCACGCTGTTCACGAAAATCAGCCATTGCAAAAACGACGATCACACAAAACAGTTGTCACTATAAACTCTGCCGAAACTAGTCCTTACCTTCTGAAGCAACGGTAGTCGGCTTATCGACTCAGGAATATTAGTTCTATGCGCTCATAGCGGCAAAACGCGGTACTACAAACGCTCTGCCCACAAAAAAATTAGTTCGGTTTCTTTTGGGTACCCCATCGTATTGGGGGTAAAGCCAGAAGGAACTATACCACTGGGAAGACCAAGGCGTAGGTCGGTGGACAATATTAAAATGGATATCAGAGATATAGGATGAGATGGTTTGGATTGGATTAATCTGGTTCAGGATATAGACCAATAGAGGGCTCTTGTGAACGCTATAATAAACCTTCGGGTTCCATAAAATTTTTGAAACGTTCTTAAGTAGCTGCAGAATTGGCGGCTCCTCAAGAAGGGCTCAGCTCCATGAGTAAGTAAGTAATTATTAATTAAGCACCATGTATATTAATATGAGACTCAAGTAATTTTTCCACGTATACAAAATATTTCTCTGCTTTGCAAGTAGCTTACTAATTTGATCGCACCATTTTAGTTCTACGTTGATGGTCGTCCTTAAATTCGTTTATGTCCTACACAAGTTTCTCACTCACTCACTCACTCACTAAGCTGAGGCCTTCTTGAGAAGCCGACAATTTTGCAGCTACTCAAGAACTTCTCAACATTTTTATGGAACCCGAATGTTCATTGCCGCGTTTACAAGAGCACTCCGTTGGTCCCTATCCTGAGCCAAATCAATCTAATCCATACCATACTATCCTGTTTCTCTAAGATCAATTTTAATATTATCCAATAGGTCTATACATCCACTCCCCTATATGCCTTCATATTGTAGTGCTTACTTAGTTAAGTGCAGGGACAACTTTACATTTTACCACCCACCTACATTCGTTTAATGATTTAGACCTCTCATGCCTTGTCAGTCTTAAATTCATCTGACACTTTAGCACTCTCCTGTTTAAGCTCAGTTTTCTTACTGCCTGTGCTAGTCTGGTTCCTGAATTGTAAAGCACAAACGAGTGGGTAGGACCACACATAGAATAAGGAGCTCCAAGACCCTAGGTTTTCGAGGACAGTCGTTCTCCTCAGCCACTGGTCACACCTTGCTTCATAGAGTAAAAAATCTACAACAATAAGCCTTTTGGCTGAATTTCACAACGTTTTTCACTTGCTCTCTGCTGTTTTGCCAGAAACTACATCCCTTAGCCTAAAGCCGATCGTGGAATCGTACAGTGGCACTTGTCTTCAACGCTCTTCACTTGGTTCTGTCAGCTCTCGCAAAATTCCTTGCGCATATCCAACTGCTGCATTGGACTCTATACAGGTTCCTAATGTGACGGCTGTGAAACTCAGGGGTCGTGGCATAGTACTCTCGAATGAAGTTCTTTGTCTACTAATACGCGACCAATACGGTTGTATCTCCCCACCAAGAAAGTTTTATGAAGTGTAGACTCTATTTACCGACGTTGCGACGTACAGGTGCTGTAATTTTGACAGGTACTAAATACTTGATGTTTTAAAATTTAGTATTGTAATCCCATTACAGGTCGGTCACGGTAGCCGAGCGGTCTAAGGCGTGCACTGTCTTCGCTCGCTCGGAAGCCCGGATCGTGGGTTCGAATCCCACTCAGGGCATGGATGTTTGTGTGCGTTTTTCTGTGTCTGTGTACAGGTAGAGGCCTTGCGACGAGATGATCACGCGCCCAAGGAGTCCTACCAAATGTGTAAGATCTAGAAAAACGTAAGTGAACGGAGAAGTTCATGGAAGTAGGCCTAGGCCCACTGGGGCTGTAGTGCCAAGGAAAAAAAAATCCCATTACAATTAATAACGTCAGGTATAATTGCACTACAG